AATGTAAATTTTTGGCAAATTTTGAAAGTTTGGTAATTATCCTGAAAACTGTAATAAATTTTAATTATAAAAATTACCATAACAATAAGATCTACAAACAAATAAATTAAATTGAGATGGACAAAATTATCAATTGTTCCCTTATACAAGTTGCTACCCATGAAAGACGTTTTTTTACCCATTGTTTGTTCTTGTAGATTATGTATTCATGGTAATGGATAAAGAAAAATTTTAAAAGCAAAAATGTTCAGTAAACATGTTGACTAAACATGGCAAAATAGGATCTACAAATAATTTGACATGACTAAAATCATAAATTGACCCTTTATAGAAGTTATTGCCCTTGAAAGATGATTTTTACCCATTTTACCTATTTTTTTGTAGAAACCCTAATAGATAGAGAGAAATTGTTGTAAATATCAAAGATATGTAGCACAATAAGATCTAAAAATAAGTCAACATTGCAGAAATTGTCAACGGACTCCTTATAGGAGTCATTGCCCAGGAAGACTTCATCAACAAATAAGTCGAAAAGCTGATATTTTCAGTCAACTCTTTGTAGGAGTTCTTGCTCTTTAACAGTCTTTCTGTACGGAATTGTATTTTTTAGCGCGTTCGTATAGCTGGAGATTTTTTAGCAAGAGTGGTTTCGTGGCCGGAATTAATTTGACATGTGCTCGAGGAAAAATTCGTCTCGGAACTTCAAACAACAATAAAATGTCATAACTATGACTTTGCATGCAGCTTTACATAATTGATCTGATTTTAAAACTGAAAGTAGGCAGTGCATTTTTCGTTTTCCATGATGCTTTGAGGCATCATGCGGCAGTTACCAGGTGATGCTTTCAGGCATCATACGGCAGTTACCAGGTGATGCCTTGAGGCATCATACGCCTTGAATGGGTTAATTAATGACAATTTGTATATGCCCATTTACGGGATGTATTATGGTATACCATTGTCTTCGTCTGTCCGTCTGTCAGTTCATCATCAACATGTTGGACAATAACTTAAAAACGCTTTAACCAATTTGCATGGAACTTTGGTGAATTGTTTATATCTATTGACGTGAGCTCCCTTTCGATTTTTGTCGAGCCTGCGACTTTTGTCGCAGAAAGCTCGACATAGGGATAGTGATCCGGCGGCGGCGGCGGTGGCGTTAGCTAACTTCTTAAAAGCTTTATATTTTAGAAGCTAGAAGACCTGGATGCTTCATACTTTGTATATAGATGCCTTATGTTACGAAGTTTCCGTCTGTCATATGTCCATTGTCCTTGACCTCATTTTCATGGTTCAGTGACTACTTGAAAAAAAAGTCAACATTTTTTGTAATGTTAATTTCTTTCTTATTATGAGTAATAGGATAACTATATTTAGTATGTGCGTACCTTGCAAGGTCCTCATGCCCGTCAGACAATTTTCATTTGACCCCAACCTCATTTCATGGATCAGTGAACAAGGTTAAGTTTTCGTGGTCAAGTCCATATATCAGATACTATAAGCAGTAGGTCTACTATATTTGGTATATTGAATGATTGAAAGGTGTACATGTCCAACTGGTAGGTGTCATCTGACCTTGACCTCATTTTCATGGTTCAGTGGTCAAAGTTAAGTTTTTGAGTTTTGGTCTTTTTTTCTAATACTATATGCAATAGGTCAACTATATTTAGTATGTGCGTACCTTGCAAGGTCCTCATGCCCGTCAGACAATTTTCATTTGTCCTCGACCTCATTTCATGGATCAGTGAACAAGGTTAAGTTTTCGTGGTCAAGTCCATATATTAGATACTATAAGCAGTAGGGCTACTATATTTGGTATATGGAATGATTGTAAGGTGTACATGTCCAACTGGTAGGTGTCATCTGACCTTGACCTCATTTTCATGGTTCAGTGGTCAAAGTTAAGTTTTTGAGTTTTGGTCTTTTTTTCTAATACTATATGCAATAGGTCAACTATATTTAGTATGTGCGTACCTTGCAAGGTCCTCATGCCCGTCAGACAATTTTCATTTGTCCTCGACCTCATTTCATGGATCAGTGAACAAGGTTAAGTTTTCGTGGTCAAGTCCATATATCAGATACTATAAGCAGTAGGGCTACTATATTTGGTATATGGAATGATTGTAAGGTGTACATGTCCAACTGGTAGGTGTCATCTGACCTTGACTTCATTTTCATGGTTCAGTGGTCAAAGTTAAGTTTTTGAGTTTTGGTCTTTTTTTCTAATACTATATGCAATAGGTCAACTATATTTAGTATGTGTGTACCTTGCAAGGTCCTCATGCCCATCAGACAATTTTCATTTGTCCTCGACCTCATTTCATGGATCAGTGAACAAGGTTAAGTTTTCGTGGTCAAGTCCATATACCAGATACTATAAGCAGTAGGGCTACTATATTTGGTATATGGAATGATTGTAAGGTGTACATGTCCAACTGGTAGGTGTCATCTGACCTTGACCTCATTTTCATGGTTCAGTGGTCAAAGTTAAGTTTTTGAGTTTTGGTCTTTTTTTCTAATACTATATGCAATAGGTCAACTATATTTGGTGTATGGAAATATTTTATGATGTACATGTCAGTCTCGCAGGTTTTATTTGACCTTGACCTCATTTCCACGGTTCATTTCTCAGTGTTTAGTTTTTGTGTTTTGGTCTGTTTTTCTTCAACTATAAGCAATAGATCAACTATATTTGTTGTATGGAAGGATTGTAAGGTGTATATGTCTGTCTGGCAGGTATCATCTGACCTTGACCTCATTTTCATGGTTCATTGGTCAATATTTAGTTTTCTTGGTTAAGACTGTTTCTTAGAAACTATAAGCAATAGGTCAACTATGTTTGGTTTATTGAATGATTGTAAGGTGTACATGTATTTCTCGTTTGGTTTATCTGACCTTGACCTCATTTTCTTGGATCATGTTAAGTTTATGTGTTACTTGTAAAGCTTTATATTTAGGACTATCAACATAAAATCAATGGTTAGTAAAGAAGGCGAGACATTTCAGTGTGTGCACTCTTGTTATAAATTTTAGATTTACTTTTCCGAGTTGTGGGGTTTTATTTATGAAAAAAGGGGGATTTCCGAGTTTTTGGACAATAACTCAATAATGCTTTGAGCAGTTCTCATGAAACTTTGGTGACTGGTTTATATCTATTAAAATACCCCTCCTTAAGTTTTTTTATAAATTTCTGAAATGACATTGAGGAGTTATGGAACTTTACTTTAGTGACTGGCGTATCGTGCGCTCATGATGCAACTCTTTATTACCAATATATTACAATTTTAATAGCCTACTATCTTAAAAAGTATAAAAGTTAGATAGACTCTTTAAAGAGCAAAAATTATCAGCAAGACAAGATCTACAAATAAGTAACATTTTTTTTGTGTTTTTGGCAAAAACTAAAGAAAATAGAGAAAAACAATAAATATAAAAAATAATCAGCAATACAAGATCAACAACAACAAAAAAAGATTTTTGTCATGAATTCTATTCTAGTTCACAATGTTCATGATGTTGAAGAGAGTCCATTGTTGAAGATGCTCATAGACCTAGGTGAGTGACACAGGCTCTTTATCTGATAAAATGGATCTGAAAGCAAAACACTAAACAGATTGATTGTATAAATACACCACAGGGTTGGGGGCATGTGGAAACACAACTATTTTTATTATGCTCCTGCCACAGCTGAGGGGGCATTAAGTGTTAACCTTGTCCTTCCTTATGCATGTTATGTCTGTACGTACATAAGTCCCGAAATTGGTTTTGGTTCTCTAACTTTAGTTTGCCTCAACCAAAATATATGAAACTTATACAAAATGCTTATTTTCACAAAACACAGATCAAGTTTGATTTTGGGTGGCATCTGCCGGTCACTTTTACCATTCTAGAGTTATGCCCCTTTATAAATGGAAAAATTGCTCAATTTTACTTTTCTGTTCTCCCTTTATAAATGGAAAAATTGCTCAATTTTACTTTTCTGTTCTCAAACTTAAGTTTGCCTCAACCAAATGTTTATGAAACTTGTACACAATTCTTACATTACCACAAAACTTAAGATCAAGTTCGAATTTGGGTGGCATCACTTTTACTGACCAGTCAAGGGTCTAACTTAAATAAGTTATTAGAGAAAAATAACATACATTTGTTATTGAGGGCTAAAAAATCAAAAATCTGTGATAACATATGTATGTTACATGTTTCAAAGGGGCATTATACATCCTTTATTTTGTTAAATTGTGTACTAGTTCTATTGATATTATAATTGTCTTTAAGTATATTAAACTTTAGAAAGATTTAACAGCCCATAGTTTGCCAATCATGCATAACACACCCATGCTATTACAGAAAAAATATGCCTGTAATAACTAAAGGGTGTTATATATAGCTTCTCTACATCTCTTTAAAGCCTTTTCTCCTACATATATCACAATGTATTTTAATTTATTGTAAAAAATAATGATAAGAGCATGTAATGAGGTTCTGCGCAAGCTTCCTAGTCATTCCCAAGTGTCTCGTGTAATAAGTTTAATGCCTGTAATAACTAAGCCTTGTTATTACAGCTAAGTTATCACTTAAAAGCCTTGTCTCATTGATTTACCATGGTTGATCAAAAATGTATTAATTGAATTGGAAAATTAGTTTTCAAGGTTATGTATTAAGTTACTGCGCAAGTTTCAAGAATTCCCAAGTGCCCACTGAAAATAATTTTTTTTATGGTACATTTAACTGATAACAAACATATGTTACTACAGATTAACAGAAAGTATCCGTAATAACACATGTATGTAATTTTTTCTCTAATAACTTATTCAAGTTACACCCTTGACTGCTGACAAGGACACATTCTCCATTTATTTTATTGTTGGCCCTATTGACTTTTAAGTCATTTGGTATAAGAATATATTAGCATAACAGAATACTACTTGCCAAAATCATAATTTATATGAGGTTGACAGTTTATGTGAGCTTGTTAACTTGAGATTTTTATATTTTTACAGAAAATGTTCCAGATTTCATAATGGTTTTCATAAAATGACATGAATGAGGGACAAGGATCCAAGATTTTTGACGGTTTCAATGATAATCTTATGATAGACTCCAGAAGACTTTACAATGGCATCTCTTTCTGTAGAGGAAGAAAACTATGTTCGAATGAGTTTGTTACTGACAGGAATTTCTCCACGTGCAGCAAGAACCTTATTTGATTATGAGTTTGCTCCAGCATGTTTAGAAGCCTCACTGAAGAAAGAGTATAACACACTGTTTGACTTAAAAAAGAAGCACAGAATCAACCAATCACAGTGGAACCTTCTGTTTCCAAGATTTCCTGGTAAGTGCAGAAATAGAAATTTTAGAATATCCTTTTTAGCTCACCTGGCCCAAAGTCTGTTGTCTTCTGTTAACTTTTACAAAATTCTTCTACTCTAAAACTACTGGGCCAAATTTAGCCAAACTTGGCCACCATCATCATTGGGGTCTCTTGTATAAAAATGTACCTGTCTGACCGAATTTTTATGCCCCCGCCATAGCGGTGGGGACATTAAGTTTTACCCTTGTCTGTCGTCCCAAAATTGGTTTCCGTTCTCAAACTTGAGTTTGCCTCAACCAAATGTTATGAAACTTATACACAATGCTTATTACCACAAAACACAGATCAAGTTTGAATTTTGGTGGTGTCACTTTAACCGTTCTAGAGTAATGCCCCTTTATAAATGGAAAAATTGCAAAATTTTAGTTTCCGTTCTCTAACTTAAGTTTGCCTCAGCCAAATGTTATGAAACTTATACACAATGCTTATTACTACAAAACACAGATCAAGTTTGAATTTTAAAGGCATCACTTTAATCATTCTAGAGTTATACCTCTTTATAAATGGAAAAATGGCAAAATTTTTATTTTCTTCTTAATATCAAGTAATTTGTAGCTCACCTGGCCCGAAGGGCCAAGTGAGCTTTTCTCATCACTTGGCATCCGTCGTCCGTCGTCATCGGTGGCGGCGTCGTCGTCATCATCGTCGTCATAAGCTTTTTACAAAAATCTTCTCTGAAACCACTGGACCAAATTTAACCAAACTTGGCCACAATCATCATTAGGGTATCTAGTTTAAAAAATGTGTCCGATGACCCCGCTAACCAACCAAGATGGCCGGTATGGCTAAAAATAGAACATAGGGGTGAAATGTAGATTTTGGCTTATATCTCTGAAACCAAAGCATTAAGAGTAAATCTGACTAGGTAAAACTGATTATCAGGTCAAGATCTATCTGCCCTGAAATTTTCAGACAATTCTGACAACCTGTTGTTGGGTTGCTGCCCCTGAATTGGTAATTTTAAGGACATTTTGCAGTTTTTGGTTATTATCTTGAATATTATTATAGATAGAGATAAACTGTAAACAGCAATAATGTTCAGCAAAGTAAGATCTACAAATAAGTTGTCATGACCAAAATTGTCAGTCGACCCCTTTAGGAGTTATTGCCCTTAATAATCAATTTTTAACAATTTTTTGTAAATTTTTGTAATCTTTTACAAAAATCTTCTTCTCTTAAACTACGGAGACAAATTTAACCATACTTGGCCATAATCATTATTAGGGTATCTAGTTTAAAAAATTTGTCCGATGACCCCGCCCTTCCAACCATCATGGCCGACTTGGTTAAAAATAGAACATAGGGGTAAAATGCAGTTTTTGGTTTATATCTCTGAAACTAAAGCATTTAGAGCAAATCTGACAGGTGGCAAAAATGTTCATCAGATTTAGATTTATCTGCCCTGAAATTTTCAGACGAATCCGACAACCCGTTGTTGTGTTGCTGCCCCTGAGTTAGTAATTTTACAAAAAATTTGCAGTTTTTTGTTATTATCTTAGATATCATTACAATATCTAATATCTAATACTATTAACTATGATTTTAACCTTATTTTACATGATTTCCAAAGCATCAGTAAATACAGGTGAACGACACAGGCTCTTGTTCCTTTGTCCATTATTATAGTTGAATCAACTACAATCAATGCTTATACAATGCAATGTTTAATTTTGACTTCCACTGATAGAACACAGATCAAGTTGAATTTGGGTAGTGTCACTTTAACCATTATTGAGTTATGCCCCTTTATAATTCGTAAGATTGCAAAATTTTTAGTTTCCATACTGTAACTTAAGTTTGCCCCAACCAAACATTATGAAACCTATACACAATATTCATTACCACAAAACTAAGATCAAGTACAAATTTTTTGTTTCCGTTTTCTAACTTTAGTTTGTCTCAACCAAATGTTATGAAACTTATACACAATGCTTATTAGTACATAATACAGATTAAAAGTACAAAATTTGGTGGTGACACTTTTACCATTCTTGAGTTATGTCCCTTTGTAAACATAAAAATTGCTGACTTTAGTTTGTCTCAACCAAATGTTATAAAACTTATACACAACCATTCTAGAGTTATGCGTGTTTACAAATAGAAAAATTGCTGAATTTTTAGTTTCTGTTCTCTACTTAAGTTAGCCTCAACCAAATGTTATGAGACTTACACACAATGCTAATTACATTTACCACAAAACTCAGATCAAGTTCAAATTTGGGTAGAGTCACTTTTACCGTTCTTCAGTTATGTCCCTTTATAACTATATGATATGCAAGCGGGGCATCATCTGTGTCCACATGTGGACACTATCCACATTTATTTAGAATGATGAGATCTACTTACTGTCCATTTACATATAAAACGACTTTTATAGGAGTTATTGTCTTTAAATGACAAATTCTACCAATATTTTTTTCATTTTTGCCTATTATACGTATTATATGCAAGCGGGGGCATCATCTGTGTCCCATGGACACATTCCCCATTTATTTACTTATACAAGTAAAAAAGTCATACTATCTTCTTTTCTTGAATTTCTCAGGACTTCTTTGCTCTAATAGAATTTTTAATTGTCTGTCCTTTAATTTGGAGATGTCTTTACTACATTCAAGTGTAATTTCATGGACAATGAAAATCTCATTTGTGTGTTATCTTCAAAACACTGCTCATTTACAAACCTCCATTAAGGGGCAATTTTTGAAGGCCTTGCGCAATTACTTAAGATCTATGTGCAATTAGTTTTTCTGTTGAATTAATTATAATGAGATAAAACATTGAACTCAAATCAAAAATTATAAGCTAACCAGAAAAAATTGTTTAAGGCATGTTTTTACATCCCAAAACTTGAAAATTTTGAGTTATAACAAAAAGTACTTATACAAGTAATTTTTATACGACCGAAAAAAAAATTTGCGGTCGTATATTGGTATGACGTCGTCGTCCGAAGACACATTGGTTTTCGCACAATTACTTTAGTTTAAGTGAATGGATCTCTATGAAATTTTACCATAAGGTTCAATACCACAAAAGGAAGGTTGGGATTGATTTTGGGGGTTATGGTACCAAAAGTTAAGGAATAAGGGGCCAAAAATAAGCATTTTTCTAGTTCCAGACAATAACTTGTGGAACGGTGTATGGATCTCTCTGAAATTATACCACAAGTTTCCATACCACAAAGGGATGGTTAGGATTTGCTTTGGGGGTTATGGCTCAAACCGTTTAGGAATTAGGGGCAAAAAAGGGGGAAAACAAGGGTGTCCTTGTAAATGGACAAATACTTTAGTACAAAACATAATTTAAAGCAGTGTAAGAGTGGTAATTCAAATACATCATTTGAATTACCTCCCTTACACTGCTTTTAAATTATGTATAAAGTAATGGTTAATGAACAATTAAGACAATTTAAAAGCAGTGTAAGGGAGGTAATCCAAATACAACGTTTTGATTACCTCCCTTACACTGCTTTTAAATTATGTTTAAAGAAATGCATGCATATTTATAAAGGAAGACCACTAAAAATATCTGCAAATGTTGCATCTTTTTTTTTTTTTACATCATATTTTAAATTCTATTATAAAATAGATTAAGTTAGCATTATGGTAAATTTAAATGGGTACTTATGGTTGCAAACTCCATTGGAAATTTGAAATGAGATTATGACCATATCTTGAGGGAAAGAATTTTTTTGGGGAAAAAGGGGGGGGGGGGGTAAAAAGAAATGTTGGGGGGGCAATTTTTTCTCATTTCAGATTTCAGAAATTAAAAAGAAAAATTCTTCAAATATTATTTTTTTTTTTTGGGGGGGGGGGGGGGGGGGGTTAATACGCAACAGCATAGTGTATTGCACAAAAGCAAAAAAACCAATTCTAAATTCTTTGACTACAGTTATTCTGTGTCAGAAACCTTTTATGTGTCAAATATTTAATTACAATCCAAATTCAGACCTGTATCAAGCGCGAATATTGCGTCCATTTTTGCCCCAACTGTTCAGGGTTGGACCTCTGCGGTCGTATCCAGCTGCGCTCGGCGAAGCAATTTATTTTTAGAAAATTAAGGGGAGATTATTCAAACTTTATAAGAAAATATGAATATAACAAATTTAGTTATATAAGTATATTATTATTTACTGCTTCAACTAAATAAAAATAACTTGTACAAGTAGTACCCCTGACCATGTTGACTGTTATTTTGTAAATTAAGGATAATATGTCAAATTTCAAAATAAGTGCATATGATTTTGTTTTTGAATAATTTTTCATGATTTAAATCCACTACCTGTATACTTCTTATGACTGTTTGTTTCTTGTGAATCAGTCAAGATAATTAGGTGGTTATTTGAACTTACCAAGGACCTAATCAATGAAAGAACTGTGATTTTGAAGAAAAAAAAGGTCACAACAATAGTCATGATAGTCTATATGAGACACACAATGGATTTCACATTAAATCATTAAAAAGATACCACTCACTCTCTGGATTCGTGGTATCTTTTTAAATAACCAACACTTATCTATTGTATCTACTTTATATACCACATACAAAATTCATTTACGTGAAGGAATGACAAATTCACATAGGAATTGGAAAGGACTGTTATCTTTTTAATGATCTAATGCTTATCCAAGGAATAAAATTCTGTGAAAGTTTCATAAAATTCTGTTCAGCAGTTGAAGAGCTGTAGCAGATAGATGGGCTCCCTAAGATTGCCTATGAAACATGTACAATTACCTACCAAAGAATTGCCTTTAAAGATGAGCAAAACACATAATATATATATCATGTACAGTCGAACCTCGTTATGTCGAAGTCGAAGGGACCGGACCAAGGTATTCGACTTATCCGAGGTTCGACTCATCCAAGGTCCAGTATGTTGTCATAAATTTGGAATGCATGAAATACGGTATGAGATTTGTGTAATCTAGATACTTTGAACAGTGTGTCTTTTTTCAATATGACACTTTATGATTGTGTATTCAATCTCCGTATTTTTAGGTCCTTCATAAGAATTAGACACACAAGTACAGATACAAATCATGCACAAATAAAATCAATAGTATACACAAATATTTTCAAAGGTCAGTCACCATAAATTATGAAATAACTCACGGAACATACCAAGTTCTGAACGGTCACTGATGGGGTCATCTGCTTTACATTGAATTATCATAATTTAGCATAATTGTCTTAATCCTTTAATTGATAGTAATTAATAAATTTTAATTCTAATGATTCATTTAATTTGGGCTTGGGTCATTTAAAGTTGTTTCGTTTTTAAGACTGATGAAATATGTTTAACAAACTAACATTGCGCTTGGACGATCAACAACATTGTTAATTACCGGTCACCATAAACATGTCATTTTAACTGTTATTCAAACAAGTATGTTAACTCAGCTTTAATCTCTTTTGATTAGGTTACATAATCAATACATCCAATTTAAATTTTTATCATTAGGTGTGCATCTTTTGAAAATTTCTTCTTTCAAACTTGAGACATCGGGGTCAATTTACATTAATTTTACATCGACAGGACTATAAAATTTACTCGACATAACCGAATATTCGAATCAATTGAGTTCGACTCATCAGAGGTAATTATGTTTTGATCAAACGGGAATTTTACAGGGACCAAGAAATTACTTCGACTCATCCAAGTTTTTCGACACAACCAAGTTCGACACAACGATGTTAGACTGTATATAGTTAGCTATAAAAGGTCCCATGTTGATAAAATGTGAACAAATCAGAAGAACAATGGAGCTTTTTGATGTATACTATAGCTATTAAAGAAGACAATATAGCCTGCACAAGCCAAAGGACTTCTGAATCCTGGCATGGATGAGGTTTAACATGTGTGTTAGTGGCCCTTATCCTCCATAAGACCTTGGACAGTGGCATAACAGTACAACATCAGTACAAACAAAAAATCAGGTTCCTTTGATCCTCTGGTGTATCATGTTCAAGAATGAAATTAAGGAAGTACCATACCATCCAATCCTTCAGTAAAAATATTCAAAGTAATGTAAATTTTCCTTTTTTTTTGCCCTTATTACTTTTATTATCTGATTTATTTTCCAGATGTACCAGATTCTAAAAATTTTGATGTGACTCTAATAATAACATTACTGAGAAACTTGATTCCAATGTCTCCTCCTAGTTGTGGATTTGACCATTTACCTGCTGCCATGGAAACCACACCAGCTGCAGATTTAGCAAGAATAAAACACTACAGGAATAACCTAGCTCATCTGGATAATGGCAAAATAGATATTACTTTCTTCAACACAGCATGGAATGATCTTACTGGTGTATGTATATATATATTAATTTTCCTTTCACTGATTTTAGGGAAACCAGCTGGTAGAAGACACTTGAAACAAAATGACAAGAAAGCCACATTCAATTTAACAAATTTGTATAAATTATTTGTTATTAGATATTGGTTGGTTACATTCTCATGACCTTTTGTGAAACATGAGATTGTCCTTCAAAGGTGATAAAAACAAGTGTCCAGATTAAAAAAAAATATTCCTTCAAATAACTTTACAAAGACTAATTACATTAATTTTTGATTACCTGAATTATTAAAACATAATCAATTAACAAATTTTTTTTTTGTCTTAAATCTATGATTGGAAATTTAACCAATTACATGAACTTATTTTCCTTTACGCAAAAGAACATTGAAATTACCATATACCATTAGATTCTCAAACAGAGAATTTCTTCCTTCCTTTTGTAAACTATACGTGCTATATTTATATATGTCACTGCCATCTAACATGAACAGTCATGTGTTAGGTCAAACCCATCAAACATGGAGAGTCATGAATAAGGTCACTGCCATCAAACATGGACAGCCATGCACAACTTCACTGGCAAGTATGCGGGGTTCTTTAAAACAGCTGCACAAGTTATTTTTGCCTGTAACACTGTGTTTATACTGTACTTGTTGAATGAGGACAAAGAAACAACTCTAAACTATCAGCTTAGTAAAACAAACACATGTCTGTTTTGTTGTCAAATTTTAAATTAAACTTTTTAACAGTATTGATTTATTTTATATTGTATTAACTCATGTAGGTGTGTCCTTGCACAAAAAACGTCATACATGTATTGTATCATGAGAACTGATAATACATGTATACTATTGGGGACATATACAGGTATAGTATTGGGGACATGTATTAAAATTTAAAAGCGTAGATATCATGCTTGAGGTTTTCGTTTACAAAAGTGACAAGCTAACTCTGATCAAGCCAATATCTTGATAACATAGCTATATATATAAAATTATATAGTTATATCGATAGTGGGTTTGTCTTCATTTAAATTTAATGTGTAGAGTGACTTGGGACTTTATCAGATTTTTAAAGGTAAGATTGATAAATTTCTAGCAAAAAAAGGCCAAATTTGTGAATTAGAACTAATTAGGAGATCAAGAATCATAAAAGGGGAATAACTCATACAATAACTGCACCACTATTATATTGCATGTATTGTGTACCATTCTATATGTTACAGGCCATTGGAAGATTAGGTGGTCAACAAATGAGGCAGGAGTGTGATCATATGAAAACCAAACCTTTAGATCAAAACAATGAAGAAATAATACTGGACATCAAACATTCTAGAAAAGAAGTCCAGTTGCTAAAAGACTCATTAGAAAGTCTGAAGCTGTCACATACGGAAATGATAAAATCTCATGAATCACTTCAAGAAAACCATGCAGTTGTGACAAAAGAAATAGAAGAAATAAAGATCTATCAGATAGATACTGTACCTTGGAATATTAGAGGTAAACTGTTGAAGGGGACTTGGGTTACATCTACTCCATCAACATTAACTTTTTAGGTCACCTGGCCTGTAAGGGCCATGTGAGTGACTGTTATCACTTTGCATCAGTCCTTCATTAGACCATTCATCATCTTTGAAACCACTTGGCCAAATTGAAATTTTGCAGGAATAATTTTGGAAATTCCTCATTTTGTTATGATAGGAAGAGGAACATGGCCGCCAAAGGCAATTCTGATTAGTCAAATTATATCAAATACAATAAATGTAGTTAGAAGAGCTTGCACATTACACATGAAAAAATGTTTACATATATATATATATATATGTTCCAGATCATATGAGTAAATGAACTGTACACATGTAGTCATGACCAAAAGCATGTATAAATAAACTCATGGTCCGAACATTCACTTGTTGTTGAACCATGTGAGTATATTCTAGTTTGGCTATTAGCAGTTAGACTGTAGGAGTATTCATACCATATAGCCATTTATGAATATGTCCACATGTCTGTGTCCAGGCCAGAGGAAAAGTTTCGATTTGCACACGGCACACATACACAGACTATATTATAGATCGCCGGAAGTCGGTTTGTCTGTTAAAAGATGACGGTCAAACTGTCAACATCAACAAGCCCTTGGTTTGATTCCTCTGGAATTTGGCTTTTCTGTATCAATAAGAATGTCTACACTGTACAAATGGGAAACTGTCCCAGTATAAATGTAAAAGTTCACGTAGCACCAGCAAACAAAAAACCTGGATTATGAACTTCATGGAAACACATTTAAACAATTAGGTCCAAGGACACAGTTATCGTCCTTTGGTTTTCGTTGTCTACAAATATAGTCCCTAGTGTGAACAGTGTATAACTTGCATTTTTTTTTGATACACTTTCCCAATTTATTTCTTGATATTTTATGCATGAAATATTAAGTAAGGGGATGAAATTACATGTTAAAAAAATTTGGGTGCTGAATCTTTATGTTAAGTAGTGATTTGGTCCAGTTAAAAAAGGTCAAAAATTAGAATGTCTGAAGCTGTCAAACTGAATTTTAGCCCCCCTTAACACAGAATTGTCAATATTTTGAGTTAAAGCTGGTAGAAGTTTCTATAATTTTGATATTATTTGTATCAATAGTAGTAAACTTCACTGTAAAAATCTTTTTGAGATAGAGCAGGTGTGATTTTTTTAATTTGAATTTATTGTCTAAAAGAAATGCACTACGAAATAACTGTGTTCTCAGGCCTAAGAGATGAATTCCATAAATGTAGATTCTGTACTTTGGCAACTTTCCTGAATGGTTTGCTGGTTTCAATTTGTCAAACTCAATAAAAGTAAAGGATTTACATCTTTGTTTGACAGAAATTCTGTTAAAATGTCCAATTTTGGCATTATACGGCTAAAATAAGCATTTTAAAGCAGTTTCCATTTTATGCCTAAGAGCCATGCTGACTTTCTATCTGACAGCTTTTTATGTTCCTGATATTTGTGTTTCTATGCTTAAATCAAATTTAATTAACCATTTGTGAACTCGGAATCTAGAGAAAAGTAGATTATCACAGAAAAAATGTGCAGAATATTTGTATTTATGTCCCTGGTTAAACGGCCTGTTTGATGTATGTGAAATGTGAAGAGCTTTGTACATAAAATCTGTAGTCCATCACAAATATTTCACTAAATCTGTAAAAAAAACACTTTACAATGATCAGTACACCCTATTCATTTCATATGCTACCATAATTTTCTTCTTTAGGATAATAAGTGGTTCAAATATATGCCAAATGAGACTAAAACTACATGCAAGTTTTCCATTGAAAAGTGAAAAACTGGTCATCAGACCATACTGTCTGCAAAAAAAAGTTGAATTCAAGAGTCCTTTTGCAATTAGACTTCTTGTATCATGACATCTTAGCATAGAAATGAGCAAAAAGTAACAAATTTCAATTTCTTATAGCCTCTGTGTGCATTTTTATATGTAAATATGGGCTACGGCCTAAATCGACTCTAAATAATTCTCAGTCTTACATGGCCTAAGACCATTTTATACTCATGTGGTATGCTTTTTGTAACTTTTCTTTACATTTAAAGTACATTTAATATATATGGAAGAATAATGTATGGTTAAAAAACTTCACAAACTTCAAATTGGTTGAAAAAAATGCATGTTTATGTAAGGCTTCCCTTAATTCAAAAATCTCTATTTTCAGGCACAGGCTCATATAAATTTGACTTTTGAATAACTGTAATAAATCTGATAAATCAAATGAGTGTTCCGTTGCTTTTAATACTTATTATATTAAATTCAAGAGTATTTAAAAAGCAAGTTTTTGCAATATTTAAATTTTTAGGCCAAAATCTTGACAGTTGAAAATATTTGATTTAAACGTCAAAAATAAACCACCAAATTTCAATATTAAAATGGCCCTAGTTTCTATAATATATATCCTATGGCCATGAAACTTGGCCACCTACTATCTTATAATTGCCTAAGCTTAGGTCATGCAAAGTTTTATTAAAATTGGTCAAGTCTTTCTATCCTATTAGGTCCAAGGACACAGTTATCGTCCTTTGGTTTTCGTTGTCTACAAATATAGTCCCTAGTGTGAACAGTGTATAACTTGCATTTTTTTTTGATACACTTTACCAATTTATTTCTTGATATTTTATGCATGAAATATTAAGTAAGGGGATGAAATTACATGTTAAAAAAATTTGGGTGCTGAATCTTTATGTTAAGTAGTGATTTGGTCCAGTTAAAAAAGGTCAAAAATTAGAATGTCTGAAGCTGTCAAACTGAATTTTAGCCCCCCTTAACACAGAATTGTCAATATTTTGAGTTAGAGCTGGTAGAAGTTTCTATAATTTTGATATTATTTGTATCAATAGTAGTACACTACACTGTAAAAATCTTTTTGAGATAGAGCAGGTGCGATTTTTTTAATTTGAATTTATTGTCTATAAGAAATGCACTACGAAATAACTGTGTTCTCGGGCCATTAATTTTCCGTCAAATATACATGTATGTATTTTAGGTTTAGATTTAAACATTTAATTGGCCTTCAAAAGATATTTTTTTTATATTCTTTTATATATTTTTTTGAAAAAGTAAATAAATAATAAAATTAGTACATGTTTTGGTCTATACTGTATATATATTGTAACGTTGGTAGCCTATATATATTAACTAGAGACAAGCCATGTGTACTGGTTAACATACTTTAATATAATGCTTGAGCTAACTAATCAACACAAATACATATTGCAATACGACGTGCCCTTATCTGCTATGTCTATCAACACAACACGTGCGTGAACTCTTGAACTATATAAATATTTATGAATGAATGAAAGTTACAATACTACATCTCTTACTTTCTCAGATTAAAGTTCTACTTTGATTAATTATATTACTGTCTGTGTAGTCATACAATCTTTAACTGTCTGTGTAAACAAATAAGTGATAGAATGCGTAAAATGATATCAATAGAAAATTAGACTTTATAGTATGTGATAAATGTAAATTATTCGGTACGCGTACGATAATGTCAATATAATTAGTGGATCATCTGATCAATCTGATAAGGCTATCATGACGAGTGTGAATAGTAAATTCCACAAATTGATTTGTATTATAGATTCACAAACATATAGATCAACATCAAACCTAATAGACAACTTTCGAGTTCGATGCATTTCCGTCAAAAACTCTGGCTTTAGTGAACATCATTCGTGCGTTTAGGGGCATCGTCACTACCAATGTTGAGCAAGTGGTTGGAAAACTATAATGCTATTTTGCACGAATTATTCGGCAAATTAAATTCTCATAATTGACAATCAGCACTACTGTCATTAGGGAATTGTGATTAAGTACTTACAAAACAAACATTATTTCTAGTTTATCCTGCACAATGATGATCACTAAGACGCTTGATGAACGTTAATAGTGCAGGGATACAGAGGAATCCCCTCTATCTGGTAAATGACGTCATAAAGGCGCGCATAATTGACGAGTTTTTTCCGGTGAAGGATGAACTCGAAAGTGGTCTATTGATACATCAGAAAGAGCACAGTATTATGATGCCTGTAACACAGCTCTTTAACGCACATAATCATCGAGATGTTTCGGTGTATGTTTTTCTCGAGATGATCTTCTCAATGGTGTGTTTGGTATAATGTCATCATCAATAATTTCTTCTATTTCCTCATCAGTCATTAGTGTATGTTTTTCTCGAGATGATCTTCTCAATGGTGTGTTTGGTATAATGTCATCATCAATAATTTCTTCTATTTCCTCATCAGTCATTATTTTAGATTTCCCAATCTTTTTGAAGTGTGACGAATGGCGAGTTATATATTTATGTTGTTCGTTCGTTGCCGTAATCATACTACCCTTTTTATTCTTAATTGTTAATGGTTGAGGATTGTACGGGGTAGACAGTTTATCTTTCTTTTCTTGTTTAACTAGGACGGTATCTCCTACTTTAAAATCAGGAACTTTAACTGAATGTTTTTTCTCGAAATATGACTTCATTTTACTTTTGTTTCTGTGATCTTCTTTTCGTACTTCACTCTTGGCTTGATCATGTATTGAAATGTTCTGCATTTTAGTATTAATTTCCCTTCCAAATAAAAGTTCTGCCGGTGACACGTTAGTTGTTGCGTGTGGTGTTGCTCAATAGTTACGAAGAAATGTATGTATTTATTGCTTCCAGCTACGATGTTCTGTTTGAGCTGCACGAATTGCTTTCCATATTGTTCTCATAAATTGTTCATTTTCAGCGTTAGCGCGGGGCCATAACGGAGTGATTTTGCGATGCTTAAAACCCATGTTATCTGCGAAATTTCGGAATTCTTGTGAATTAAACTGAGGTCCGTTGTCTGTTTTCAGTTCCTTTGGTATTCCAAAAATTGAGAAAGTTTTATCAAGTAGTGGTATGACGGATTTTGCAGTTAGACTTGTTAGGGTTTCTATAACAGGATACCTTGAGTATTCATCTATT